GTTATTTAGTGCCTTCCAGTTGGTGCTGACCCATAGTGACCCTGAATAGGATTTCCAAAGAGCAGCTGGTGAGCTTGAACTGCCGACTTTGTAGTTCAAACTGACTTTGCAGTCTAGCACATTTACTCACAGTGCCACACCAGGTCTCTTAAAAAAGCTACAGGTCATTAAAAAGACAGAAAATAAAATACCAAAGTAGATTTCAGAAAACGCTAAAACATGCTTTTCAATGTACAGGTGCTAAAAGCGAATGGAAGAAATGAGGTTAAAGACCTGAACAGAAAATTTCAAATGGCAGCTTGAGGAGACAAGGTCAAGTATTACAATGAAATGTGCGAAGACCTAGAGTTAGAAAACCAAAAGGGAAGAGCACGTTCAACATTTATGAAAAAAATTAAGAAAAAATGCAAACTTTAACTTGTAATTTTAAATTCTATAGACAAAATGTTGAATGATATTGGAGACATCAAAAGAATCTGAAAGGAATACAAAGACTCAGTGTACCAAAAAGAATTAGTTGGCATTCAACCATTTCAGGACATAGCATATGATAAGGAAGAAGTCCAAGCTGTACTGAAAGCGTTAGCAAAAAACAAGATTGTAGGAATTGATAGAATACCAATGGAAATGCTTCAACAAACTGATACAGCACTGGAAGCATTCACTAATCTATGGCAAGAAATTTGGAAGACCGTTACCTGGCTAACAGACTGGACGAGAGCCATATTTGTGCCCATTCCAAACAATGATTACTTTACAAAATTTGGAAATCATAGAATAATGCCATCAATATCGCATACACGTAAAACTGTGCTCAAATACTAACGATGGTTGTGAGGAAGATGCAGGATAGGACAGTGCTTTATTATGTTGTGCTTAGGATTGTTACTGGTCTGAGTTGATTCGATGGCATCTAACATCAACCTCTACCTGGCCACCTGAGTCCATGATTTAACTGTTTAGAACTCCTTTGCCTACTTCCTTATAAGTATGTGTCATTTCTTTGTTGCAATTTTGATTTGTCTCTTGAATAATTCCACCATTTTGTCCAGGTCAGACAAAATTCCACCATTTTGTCCAGGTCACATTTTCTATACTAGTAGCCTCTTTTCTGGTTAGTCTTCTCCTTAGGTAACTTTGTCTTTGACTCATGGTTCTCTCAGTGAGAGAGAGAGAAGGAAATTTGATATGTTTGTTTTTACTGTTTTATTTATTTTATTTATTTCTACGTTTTTATTGTGAATTGAGTGATAGTTTACAGGGAAGAACATCAGTTTTATACTCACTGTTTCATTGTAATGATTTCATTCCCCTCCCTGCATCATCATTCAGTAGTATTTGCTTCTATTCCCTCTGGGTTTTTGTTTTGTTTTGTTTTGAGGCTATACACAAAAACACTCAGGAATATAATCATTTAAACAAGCAAAGGGCACATTCTGAGAGCCTGCCTCCAGGCCGCCAACATACAGCATTTCTCTTTCCATGAGTCTAGAGTCCTCAGCTGCTCTCTCTATGTCCTCATCTCTACGTCCATCTCTGGTGTTGTTGCCTCTCTGGATAGGATCTACATTCCACTCTTCTCTCTTAATGGTCCTAGGGTCCTCTGTTCCTGGACTGTAATATTAACTTCTTGTTGTCAGGTGTTATTGTTGTTGTTGTTGTCAGGTAGTAATATTAACTACTCCCCCCTTTTTGTTAACAAAACTTCTACCTTTGCAGTTGTGACAGTCACAATTAGTCATGATAACGATTACTATTGAATCTTAATTGCCATCTCCTTTCACCAGACCCATCTAGACAAGATGGAAACTATTCAATGGGGACTCTACCTTCCCCTGTACACTCGGAAATTTGTTGCATTTTGTTTTTTGTTGTTTGCTCTTGCTGTGGTACCAGAGTCCTGACTTGTGCTATAGGATAAGCATTGGACTGCAAGATTGGTTTGAACCCCAAGATTGGTGATTCAAATTCACCAGCCACTCCTCAAAACCCTATTCAGGGTTGTTATGAATTGGAACCAACTTAACGACATAGCATCAACAATAATACCTACCAGGCTATTTATAGTATACAACTGGCATTTTAGTGGAATAACTGTACTTCTGTATTGAATGTAGTAGAGAGGTTAGCTAGCTCCTTGATTATATTACAATTATGGCAGAAGAGCACTGGACAAGATGGAATATAATAGAAAAGGTGTATTCTGTTGCTGATACTGCTACTAAATCAGTACCAGTTTCCCATGGAGTTGATTCCAGTGGCAGCCTTATATGTGTCAGAGTAGAACTATGACCCATAGGGTTTTCTCTGGCTGATTTTTTGGAAGTAGATTGCCAAGCCAGTCTTCCAAGGCACCTTTTGTTGTTAAATGCTATTGAATCGATTCCGACTCATAGCAGCCCTGTATAGGGTTTCCTTGGAGCAGCTCATGGGTTTGAACTGCTGGCTTTGTGGTTCTAAGGGACCTTACAGTCCAGTGCTTATCCTGCAGCACCACACCAGGAATTCTTTCTTCTAGATGGATTTAAATCACCAACCTTTCAGCTGGAATTCAGATACTCTAGGACAGCCATGTTAAGTGCTGTTGAGTCAATTCCAATTCATAATAACCCTGTATAGGATTTCTGAGGAGTGACTTGTGAGTTTGAACTACTGACCTTGCTATTCAAATGACCTTTCAGTCCAGTGCTTATCCTATAGCGCCACACCAAGGACTGCCAGAGCTGTCCGTAATTCACTTTCATGACCTCAGTTTTCTTACCTATAAGATCCCATGGTTGACTAAGCTTCTCTTGATTTATCCCAGGATGTCCTGGAAAAGGTCATGGTCATGTATCAAGGTCAGTAAGCATGAGGTTATTTTGCAGATATACTTGAAGAAGCTTTATTCAAGTGTGGATAACACATAAAATATGTTTCTCCTTTTAGCTTTTACTAAACTCCTCCCCCCCACAATTTTTTTTAAAGACGTAGAAAATAAGGAGCTTAGAGAAAGAGAAGAATTTGATGGAAATGCTTTACATAGTTTAGACTCCGCGTAAAGTTGAGGAATAGTATTAGAAGTATTAAGAAAGAAGAAAAAGAGCTGTTCCAAACGTGTAAGAGCATCTCCCTTTTTTCTTTTTTCCCTAGCTCAGTCTTTAATATGTGTACCTGGGCTTTACCAGAATTTGAATCTTAAATAAAGTGTTTGCCTGACTCATACCTTTTAGTAAAGCAAATAATACTCATGTCAAGGATTTTGAGTTCCAAAACACTCCATAACAGGATTTGAGAGCCTTTTACTTTTTTCTGAATTATTTTTCCAAATTTACTCCTGGGACACCTTCTGGGCAGATAGAATGGTTCACATCCTGATCAAACTTCTGTGACTAAAGTACATTTATTTTTAAATAACGTGAACACTTATTTACTTTAAATATGAGGGACCAGTCACTGGAGAAGGATGTCATGTTTGGTAAGGTGGAGGGTTAGAGAAAAAGAGGAAGACCCCCAGTGAGATGGATTGGCCAAGTGGCAGCATCAGTGGGTTCAAGTGTGGCAATGATAGTGAGGTTAGCCAAGGACCGGTCATTGTTTCATTCTGTTGTACATAGGGTCGCTATGAGTCGTTATCAACTCGATGGCACCTAACAACAGCAACGTTGTTGTTGTTGAGTGTCATCAAATCAGTTCTGACTCATTTGTTGTTGTAAAGTGCTATCAAGTCAGTTCCTACTCCTAGCAACCCTGTATAGGGTTTCTGAGGAGCAACTGGTGGGTTTGAACCTCCCACCTTGTGGTTAGCAGTCCAGTGATCGTCCTACAGTGATGATAAGTAGGGAAAAAGAGAATAGGAAGTAGTGTGGGATGATTACTGGAAGATTACCTTTTGTGTAAAAACATAAAGGAATTGAGTAAGAGTCACACTGATTTCTGGTGGAGGGGCCCTAAAGTGGGAGTATGCCTAACTCAGCCCGAAGACCAGTGTGGTTGGAGTGGAGGTTGTGAAATGAGATGGGCCATAGAGACATCAGTCCCCCAGGACTCCAAGGAGAAAGTAGCTCTGAGAATTTCCCAGGGTCTGCATATTTACTTACTATTGGAGTGTTTCCCATTCTTATTTAAAATGATCTTTATTAGTCTTGAATGCTTTTTCAGTGCCTTTTGACAATTCCAAAACTACAAAAAAATTACTGATAACCTCAACATCTAAATATGACCACTGTCAATATTTTTGGAGTATTCCTTCCAGACCTTTGTCCTTTTTGATGCATATTGAGGTACATGCTTGTTTAAGTAAAATGGGACTAGACAATACTTCATGGTTTAGGAGATTTTAAGTTTATTTGACATGTCATAGCCTGTTTTCATTTTGTATTGTTTTTAATGGCTGCATAGTATTCCATCGTGTGAACTTACGTAATCCTCCACTGTGTGAAATTTATCCTTTCCTTTTTTTTTTTTTTGCCATTTTATTTTTTGCAATAAACACTTTGTAGTTAAGACTGTAAAGATATATAGAATTCGTCTACATCTATAAAGTAGGTTGCTAGGTCAAAGGATAAACAAAATTTAATGGCTTTTTTTTTTCACCAAATCGCCTTCCAAAAAGTTTGTATTCAATTAGTACTTCAGCTAGCAAGTATATCTGTTAACATTCTTTTCCCTAAAATAACAGCAGCACTGGATATACCAAGGAGTCAGGGGGACGAGGGTGTCTTTGCTAGTTTGGTGATTGAAAATGCTTGTTTTTAATTTTATGTAAGTATGGTTTATCCTGGAGTCCTGCTATGGCACTGTAGGATAAGCGCTGGACTGCTTAGAGGTCAGTGGTTCAAACCCACCAGCCGCTTCTTGGAAACCTTATAAAGGGTCACTGTGAGTCGGAATCGACTTGACGGCATTTAACAACAGAACATGGCATCTAAAGGTATTCCCAAACCTTGTACCGGCCTCCCCCACATTCATCTTTCCTTCCTTCCTCTCTTCCTGCCTGAAGGTGGTTTTCTGTTTTGCAGCATTGCTGGAAGCCTGGTGTATTCCTATATCACGTTTTCTGAAGAGCAGCTGAGCAAGCAGTCAGAGGCCAGTAACAAGCTGGACATTAAAGGAAAAGGAGCAGTATGACCAGAGGACTGCTTAAACTTAAGGAGGCCCAAGTTTCTTGATCAACTTGGAACACTGACACTTCATACGCAGATAGTGAGGTGTCGTGATTATGGAGAGAATACACTTCTTTTGCACTTGTACAATCTGAGGATTGATTGCTGCCTTTAAAATTTTTATGATGAGAGAAATGTATAATTGACTCTATTTTAAGTATGCTGTTTGAATTAATTTATATCTGACTGGAAAATATACTGGGCGTTTTAATTTATTTTTTCTTCTATGCCAACAGTGAAACATCAGTGTTTTGAGTATCTTTTATTCCATAGGTTGACGTCCAGGTAACCCTGAGAGCTGCATATGTGAAGTGCTTCCCCAGAAGCCTCATCACTCAAATCATTATTGCAGGTGTCTGGAGTGGAGGCAGGTCAACCTGCATTCTACTGGAAATGCAGCTGGATAGCTGAAATTTCTCTTTGAATTTTATTTCTTATGATTGCATTTTCTTCCTAAGGATATCATCCCTGCATTTGCATGAGGTGACAACTTCAGCACTTCGCAAATCTTTGTGGGGCTTTGAAGTGTATTGGTTTCCATGTGTGCTTCCTTAAGGACTTATGAGATGAGCAGAAATGCATTCCTCGAAGATACATTGCTCCCTCTTTGTTGTGTAGGATGGGAATCGTGAAGGATGGAGCAAGTGGGTCTTAATTATTAATTTATTCGTCCATCTGACTCATGTATTCATCTGAAACGTATTGAGTATGTAATATTTGCCAGGCATTTATACTAAGTGCTGGGAATAATATATATATATTTAGGCGGTTGAAACATTTCACTCCTGTAGTGACTATGGGTAAATTGGAGCACTGTTAGTCAATTCAGATACTGTGACTATGAGCAAGTTGTTTCAGCTCTCAGAAATATAAATCTGTAAGGAACACTGGTGACACTATGGAATAAGCATCGGACTGCTAACCACAAGTTGGCAGTTCAGACCTCAGGAGAACAATGAGGTCGTCTGTGCCCATAAAGATTGAGTCTTAGAAACCCTGTTTATGGTCCCTATGAGTTGGAATCCACTCTAAAACAGAGATTTGGTTTTAGATTTTAGCTAGGCTTAGGAGCCCATGCCTGCCCTGCCTATTCCACAGCAATTTGGATTTAGTGCAACAATCTGAGATGAAATGTATGTGTAAAGCTGCATTTTGGAAACTAATTTGGCTCCTTTTCTGAATGAGAATGGCAGTTAGGCAAGGTGACCACCTTGATTACCTCTTGTTTCCCTCCTGTGGGTTGCTACTGTCTCTGTCTCTTTGCATCAATATGTCTAGCTCCCAAATTTCCAAATTTATCGGTTTTTGGGTTGGCAAGTCTTGGACTTTGTCTGGCAGTGTTATTGTTGAAGCCATCATCTTCATTTGACCTCAGCACATACCTCTCTCCTTTGGGTAGTCTCATTTGTCCCACCCACTTACATCCTAGACCCCTAGGTTCATTAAATGTGCATTTGGCTTAAGTCCAATGCTGCTGTCAGAAGAGCAGCAGTGAATGGGCATTGCTTGAATAGCCTTTTATGGGGATGTTAAGTCAAACACAATGCTGGGCCTCATCTCACACTAGGAATGAATGTGTTTGCTCAGGCCAGTTGCGTTGTCAGTATACCAGAACTTAAGTACCTTTGCACAGGTACACGTACTAGCTTCTATTCACTGGGTTTTGAATCCACTGAACATTATCTAAACATTTGATATTTCACTGTCTTCAAAGGAACAACCGAAAGGTTTTAACTTTTTTTCTATTTAATGAAAAATTATATTGAGGTCATTTTCACATTAGTGTTTCTCCCAATTTTGGTTTGTATTTATTAAAGCCTGGCTCAGGGTGCTGTGTTCAACAGTGCATGCCGTGACCAACTCCACTGGGACAAGGTCCATATAAGAGGTCTTAGGTCCTTCTTTGAGTTTTTCTAGTATCATCTGACTTGAGAAAATCCAGTGGAAGAAAATTCCAGTTGTATCAAATGGTTATTCTTGTTCCTGTGAGAAACAAGATTCAGAGACAGTAGAGGACATACTAATAAATGCCATTTAATTCATTAATCTGAGGTGACTGAAGGAATGGTAACACTAGCTGAGTTTGCCTGAGCTCTTTCAGAGAGGGAAGTGGTTGTTTAAAAGAACAGGCTTTGCTGACCCAACATGGAGGAGACATTACTCTAACCTGAAACCGTCATCCACCTTCTGAACCGGCCTCAGTTGATAATGCACCTCTCTCTGAATGTAATCTGCCATAGCCTTAGCCGTTTGTCTGGGTGTAATGGAAAGGTATAACATACTATCAGAAACTTAACTGACTTACAGTGACCTTGTATCATTTCCGAGACTGTCAGTCTTTATGGGAGTAGTCTCATCTTTCTCCTTAGGAGCAGCTGGTGGGTTTGAACCACCACAAAACTTGTGGTTGGCAACCCAATGCTTAATCCACCTTGTTGTTAAGTAACATCAAGTTGATTCTGACCCATAGTGACCCTGTATAGGGTTTCCAAGGAGAAGCTGGTGAGCTTGAACCATCAACGTTGCAGTTCAAACAACTTTGCAGTCTAACACATTAGCCCACAGCGCCACACCAGGACTCCACATGGAGAGGTATTTTAGTGATTCTTTTCCAGCCGCATGGAGGGAGATTTGGCATTAGAGATTTGTGTTGTGGAATTTCTCAATTATGATAGGCCTCTTGATGTATTTAAAGGTAATGAATGGGCTAGTGCTCCTTCAGAGACTGAACTGCTTCTTGGCAGTAAGGTTCCACAGCAAGTCTGTCACCTTTCCACATTTAAGAGGATTACATGAGTAGTTATAATTTCACTAAATGCACATGACAGGCTTCTATACCTCAGGGCCCTGGCATGTTACACTGGTTTATCAGAAACCACGACTTACCCTGATTCTTGGAAACCCTCTTCAATGCAGTTTTGTCTGTCAAAGTACAGGAGAGAGCAGCCTGGGAAGTTGGAGATTTATTGGGGGGACCAGCCATATTTGGTGTTTTCACTTATGTATAGGCCTAAGAGTAGTGTACTAGAGACTATGTGACACCCTGTAAGTTCCCACAATGTTTGGCTTTTACTCCAAGGTTATGTTACAAGGCACAAAAATTCTTTGGTTTATTAAACTACCCCCTGGGAGAAAAGAGGCAGTCTAGAGTTAAATCTTGAACTTGCCCATTGAGACCGATGGCTTGTGGTAAGAATCTTCAAAGCCAAATTCCATGATTAATGGCTTCTCTTCCTTGAGTTAATGAAAGTAAAGATCCTCTCCGACCAATTTGCACTTAGTCAGTACTAGATTAATGTGAATAATCCTAGTTGACTAAACTACACATGGCCAACATGTCAGGTGGTTTATAATTGCCTCATGTGATGTTGTCTCCTTCAGTAGTCACTTGTAGGATCCAACTTTCATGTAAGTTTTAAAATAAAAAGTACTTGCAAGTTTACTATAGTCTTTCTGTATCAAGAATCCATGGAAGGTCAGTAAAACTGGTACAGGATTTAAACAAAGTATAGTAGAACTTTGGTTGAGAATAGTATAAAGGGGCTTCCAAACGTTTGTAGAAAATGGAATTTTTTCACAAACTTTGTGAAGCTCCTTCGTACATGAGACTCAGGCCTGCCCTTGCTTTAGTGATGGCCTCCTTCCGGGAGCAGACCTACTAAGCATCTTGTGTATGCAAGGCCCTATGTTAAGCTTGGGGAAACTGAGATGAATATGAAATGGTCCTTGCCTTCCAGGAATGTATAATTCTTTAGCCAGAGGTAGTGGCCTGCATCCTAGTTTAGAAATAACAAGCAGATGAAAGGAGTCAGCAATTGGTATGCAAGAGCTGCTAGAGGTGTCCCATCCATAGAGTGAAAGTGTTTTCAACCCCAGAGAACTCTTCATACCGCATACTAGTCTTCTAGCTCTCAAATAAGTGACATGACTTTTAGAATTCTGAAAATAGCCTGGGTCCCTTCTTCTTCAGCTGCACATATTCTTGCTTTCCCGTACCATTTGATGTTGGTTCCTCCCAACAGATAAGGCTGTAATTGGATTTTCATTCTGAGGGGAGAATCATCATGTATAGAAGAAATGAGACAAATGCATGTAAAAACCACACCGCAAGATTGTCCACGTTTTAGGCACTCATAAATGGAGTTACCTGACATTCTTCCATGGTGAGACAGTTAGGCAAAACAAGATTCTTTATTTCTGTTCCTTAAATGTTTAAACAACGTGTATGTTTATTGGAAAGTGTGACCTTATACTTTATTGCCTCTAGAATGTTTAATGCTTTCTGTTCACTGTCTTCTTTTTTAAAAATACCTACTGGATATAATGCGCTGTGGGATATATAAAGCGTTGGACTGCAAGGTTGGTTTGAACCACAGGGTTGGTGCTTCAATCTCACCAGCCCCTTTTTGAAAACCCTATACAGGGTCATTATGAGTTGGAACCCACTCAATGGCACTTAACAGCTACAACACTGGTTATAATTGGCCTTGTGTGATGCAGCAGATCCCACCTGTTTTTAAAGTAAAATTACTTTCATATTTTGATTTTGTAATGTAAAAATTTTATCTAAGAGGAAGATAATTACACTTCAGACTGGTAATTCAATTGAAACTTTCCCAGTTTGTCCCCACATGCTAGTTTCCTTCTTCTAATTGAATGCACTTGACTACACACTGCCTTGGCTTCCAGGTGTAGTTCAGTTAGTATATATGAGTATCTTGTACCATCACTGTTGTCTAAACCCATCTAATGATTTCTGTTAGGAATCCATGTCATCATGAGGGATAGTCTCAGTGTTTAACTTTCAGAAATACTTTTTAAGGAGAAATCTGGTTAGATTCATTGCTTTACGAAAGTTTTTTTGTTTATACTTTCTCTCACGCTGATCAACTGATTGTCTACACATGTTGGCCTCTCACAATATTTTTTCAGTATAGATTCTATTTACCAAATGACCATTTTAGTGCTTTTAAAAGATTCTGTTAACCGAGATTTGTAAGTCAGATAACATAAAAATGAAAATAATGTGCCTATTTTTGTAAAGGTGTAAAATAAATACTTTTTCCTGAAAATGTGTTATTAAAATTATTTTCTAAGTGAAGTGCCTGTAGAAACCACAAGAGCCACAAGTCAGCTTCCCTCTAAGGCTGCATCATTCGTTGAGATACATTGTTGTTGTTGAGTGTTGTCAAGTCAGTTCCAGACCCATAACGACCCTGTATAGGATTTCCAAGGAGCAACTGGTAAACTTGAACCACCGACCTTGTAGTTCAAACGGCTTTGCAGTCTGGCACATTACATAGTAAGA